CCTATATGTTTTAGTTAATGTAATACAGATTCAGAATTAATTTCCTTGCTGTGTACTATCATAGTAGAGTGTTGGTAATACCGTGGTACTTTGATATTTAAATATTATTTAAATGGCTCTCCAAGTAATTCACAGAATACAATGGTATTACCATGGTACATGTCCAAAAACACGGTACTATTTTGTAAGTGAACTGATCTTGTTATTTGCTTGTTCTAGACCTGATCATAGTTCGGTATGCCTCTTCAGCCACAGAAAAAATGTGTGGCTCCATATCAGCCATGTCCTGGCCACTGTAAGCGTCAATCACTTCCTCTCCATAAATGGGCAACTGTTCATATGGATTTAACGCCACCAACACAATCCCTATTAAATATGAAAAGTTGTCTAAGTGAGGTTAATGTATCTCTGAAATTAAAAGTGAAATGAATCTAATTTATATGTGCATAATTTACATTTCAATAAACCCAGTGCTTGGTAAATGTTCTTTACAGTAACCAATATAACAATGAGGGATGGTATTTGAATTTTTGTGTTTTGAACTTTACACCCAGTAAAATAGAGGTGATTGGGCAATGGCTGTAAAAACTTGCTACTGTTTTCTGTTGATTTTAACTCACAACATTAAGTGTAAATGCTACTGTAGTCCAGAAAGCGCACACACAAGTTGTGAAGTACCGCTGGCTCGTGGAGGAAGGTTAGAGCTGTGAGGTCATTCTCTCCCTCCAATATATCAGGGTTACCTAGAGGAGGAAGACCCACTGGAGGCAATATACTCCATCTCCTTGTTTAAAAATAATAAAATAGCATATAAATGGTTTGTACCTATATAAATAAAATAAGATGCATTTTGTCTTAAGCGAACAGCTATACGACTGAAAATGATGAAAAACATTTTGTCTTTATAAAGTTTTGAAGTTTGATTAGTGGTTAGTGCGACAGGTTCTTTCTTAAAGGCTCATGGTTTCAAATCAGAATCATATGTGTGTGAGTGTCGTACTCTCCCAGCAGTGAGATGGATTCGTATGTGTTGGTCTCCAGACACCCTCACAGCTTCTGGGTCTGGCACCCACACACATGCCCCCTGAGAGACAACAAAAACAGTAACTATATTCATACTGAATATATATATTCATAAATTTTTTGTATTTGATCCTGATCTCTTGCTAAATTTGTAATTGATATTACTCAAACACTCAAATGTCAAGTGTTCAACTGGATTTCAAAAACAGTTCAGGAATGAGTTGGTACAGTGTGCTTCCTGCACCTAAACTAGCTATTTGAGATCTTCAGGACTACTAGAAAGTCCATTGCAGGTGTGTTGGAGATAAACTGTGCATGAAGGTGGCCTTATAAGAGCAAGACTGGACATTGCATTCTACAGACTTGATTATGATTATGTCTCAAGATATGGATACCAAGGAAATTGATTCAATATTTTGTATGTTACATAACCGGCTCATGTGCCTGAGTGATTGCCTGTCCCACCCCAGTGACACTCTTTCTCCTCCATCAGCATAAATACACTCACTGCACTATTAAACATTAATACCAGCCAGTCTCCTCTGACAGTGAAAATAATACAGATGCAGAAGCACAACACTAAACCAAATCAAACTCTATCTATCTATCTATCTATCTATCTACGCACAACACTAAACAAAATCAAACTATCTATCTACGCACAACAGTAAACAAAATCAAACTATCTATCTACGCACAACAGTAAACAAAATCAAACTATCTATCTACGCACAACAGTAAACAAAATCAAACTATCTATCTACGCACAACAGTAAACAAAATCAAACTATCTATCTACGCACAACAGTAAACAAAATCAAACTATCTATCTACGCACAACAGTAAACAAAATCAAACTATCTATCTACGCACAACAGTAAACAAAATCAAACTATCTATCTACGCACAACAGTAAACAAAATCAAACTATCTATCTACGCACAACAGTAAACAAAATCAAACTATCTATCTACGCACAACAGTAAACAAAATCAAACTATCTATCTACGCACAACAGTAAACAAAATCAAACTATCTATCTACGCACAACAGTAAACAAAATCAAACTATCTATCTACGCACAACAGTAAACAAAATCAAACTATCTATCTACGCACAACAGTAAACAAAATCAAACTATCTATCTACGCACAACAGTAAACAAAATCAAACTATCTATCTACGCACAACAGTAAACAAAATCAAACTATCTATCTACGCACAACAGTAAACAAAATCAAACTATCTATCTACGCACAACAGTAAACAAAATCAAACTATCTATCTACGCACAACAGTAAACAAAATCAAACTATCTATCTACGCACAACAGTAAACAAAATCAAACTATCTATCTACGCACAACAGTAAACAAAATCAAACTATCTATCTACGCACAACAGTAAACAAAATCAAACTATCTATCTACGCACAACAGTAAACAAAATCAAACTATCTATCTACGCACAACAGTAAACAAAATCAAACTATCTATCTACGCACAACAGTAAACAAAATCAAACTATCTATCTACGCACAACAGTAAACAAAATCAAACTATCTATCTACGCACAACAGTAAACAAAATCAAACTATCTATCTACGCACAACAGTAAACAAAATCAAACTATCTATCTACGCACAACAGTAAACAAAATCAAACTATCTATCTACGCACAACAGTAAACAAAATCAAACTATCTATCTACGCACAACAGTAAACAAAATCAAACTATCTATCTACGCACAACAGTAAACAAAATCAAACTATCTATCTACGCACAACAGTAAACAAAATCAAACTATCTATCTACGCACAACAGTAAACAAAATCAAACTATCTATCTACGCACAACAGTAAACAAAATCAAACTATCTATCTACGCACAACAGTAAACAAAATCAAACTATCTATCTACGCACAACAGTAAACAAAATCAAACTATCTATCTACGCACAACAGTAAACAAAATCAAACTATCTATCTACGCACAACAGTAAACAAAATCAAACTATCTATCTACGCACAACAGTAAACAAAATCAAACTATCTATCTACGCACAACAGTAAACAAAATCAAACTATCTATCTACGCACAACAGTAAACAAAATCAAACTATCTATCTACGCACAACAGTAAACAAAATCAAACTATCTATCTACGCACAACAGTAAACAAAATCAAACTATCTATCTACGCACAACAGTAAACAAAATCAAACTATCTATCTACGCACAACAGTAAACAAAATCAAACTATCTATCTACGCACAACAGTAAACAAAATCAAACTATCTATCTACGCACAACAGTAAACAAAATCAAACTATCTATCTACGCACAACAGTAAACAAAATCAAACTATCTATCTACGCACAACAGTAAACAAAATCAAACTATCTATCTACGCACAACAGTAAACAAAATCAAACTATCTATCTACGCACAACAGTAAACAAAATCAAACTATCTATCTACGCACAACAGTAAACAAAATCAAACTATCTATCTACGCACAACAGTAAACAAAATCAAACTATCTATCTACGCACAACAGTAAACAAAATCAAACTATCTATCTACGCACAACAGTAAACAAAATCAAACTATCTATCTACGCACAACAGTAAACAAAATCAAACTATCTATCTACGCACAACAGTAAACAAAATCAAACTATCTATCTACGCACAACAGTAAACAAAATCAAACTATCTATCTACGCACAACAGTAAACAAAATCAAACTATCTATCTACGCACAACAGTAAACAAAATCAAACTATCTATCTACGCACAACAGTAAACAAAATCAAACTATCTATCTACGCACAACAGTAAACAAAATCAAACTATCTATCTACGCACAACAGTAAACAAAATCAAACTATCTATCTACGCACAACAGTAAACAAAATCAAACTATCTATCTACGCACAACAGTAAACAAAATCAAACTATCTATCTACGCACAACAGTAAACAAAATCAAACTATCTATCTACGCACAACAGTAAACAAAATCAAACTATCTATCTACGCACAACAGTAAACAAAATCAAACTATCTATCTATCTACGCACAACACTAAACAAAATCAAACTATTTATCTATCTACGCACAACACTAAACAAAATCAAACTATCTATCTATCTACGCACAACACTAAACAAAATCAAACGATCTATCTATCTACGCACAACACTAAACAAAATCAAACGATCTATCTATCTACGCACAACACTAAACAAAATCAAACTATCTATCTATGCACAACACTAAACAAAATCAAACTATCTATCTACGCACAACACTAAACAAAATCAAACTATCTATCTATCTATGCACAACACTAAACAAAATCAAACTATCTATATATCTACGCACAACACTAAACAAAATCAAACTCCATTCATCCATCCATCTATCTATCTACAACACAATACTAAACAAAATCAAACTATCTATATATCTACAACACAATACTAAACAAAATCAAACTATCTATCTATCTATGACATCCAATGGAGTTACAAAAAATATATCGCTACTAAAAGTCAGCATACGCACTTTCCTTTGTGTAGAACTCTGTGGTTGCCATCTGGCCAGAAAGTTCATTTCTGCTTTGACAGATCAAAATAGACCTCACTACAACTTCAGCTATTCTTTTAATTTGTGTCTCAGAGCGAGTGACTGGCCCCGTGCCCTTTGGTCTGTTAGAGATTCAGGCATCATAACCGTAATGGTAAGTTAACAGTTAATACTTCAGCTGAGAGAGGGACATTTAAAACTGCTCTGGATCTGAACCATAAACTCTCTAAGCAGCTTAAAGTAGTGCAAACAAATGGATAGCAAATAAATGATAACACTAACGAAACATAAATAAAGATGCTGTCAAGTGAACCATCTGTAGGATCATTGAAGAATGAAACAGCCTTGATATTCAACACAAGAACATTTTATTTTGAGAAATGCGTGCTGCTGTGGGCTATGAACAAAACATTTTTTAAAAAAACATTTTTTTTAACACGTTTAATTAAGTTGCTTATCACAGGATGATGTTTACACATCACTTTATATGAATCGCGCGTCACATTTTATGAATCCCCATTCACATTTGAATTTCAGGTTCAGACTGTGGAAATGTTATTCAGTGTCAAGTATGAATAGCTTATAAAGAAAAAACGAGCACCAGATGAGTTGAAAACATAACATTTGAAGTCAAACAAAGCCATACCTGTTTATATGTTTATCAATGCCTCTCCAGTAAAACATTTGGCATTGAGAATAACACATTGAAACTGAATTTAAACAGCATAATACTGATTTGCACCTTAGTTTGATTAAGAAAGAGGGTAAAATATTGTGAAAATAAGAGAGAAGGTCAATATTTTTGCACAAACATGTACCTTTCTCTTTTTGAGAGAGCTTTAAACATTTTTAGTCACAGAGAATAATCAACTTATCAGTTTAGGTCAGCTGTGACAAAGTATAGCACTCACCAGAACTAGAGGACTGTGTTATTGACTTGATTGTCATCATATCAAATCCAAATACCTCCTCTCAAAAATCATTTAATGCAGAAGGCAGTTCAACTGCTGAACTTTTCTAACATTTTGTTCTTTTAGAAAAATGTTTGAAAAATTAAAAAATAATGACAATAAAATGGAAAAATGCCTGAAAATCAAGCCAACAGTCTCAGAGAGATCCCAACTGAGGGGTGTACATGGATATTCAGCGAAGCTGGGAGATCATCGTGGTGTGTCTGGTTGTGTTGGGAAACTCATGTGCAGGTAATTCAGACACATTTGAATGACCTGTCAAAAAAAAGAGGCATTTTGGTGACTATTTCCTTTAGGAAACAATAGCAGAAATGCTGCCATTTTTCTCCAACTGTTTGCTTACCTTTGCTATACTTCCTGTTTATCATCATTGCAATTCCCCTCCTGTTTGAGTGCATCTCCCTCACTAGTCGTTTCGTCCACGTGAGCCAACATGTCGGCCATCAAAGCCTCCTCCAGTCGCTTTCGCACGCTGTACACCAGCTCCTCTTGCTTTCTGTGAGCATCAAATTCAACTGTATCATTGTACTTGCATGAATGTCCCCACAGTGATAGAGTGCATCATTCAGAGGTTTGAAGTACCTGATATCCTCGTCTGTGACGATGAAGGCCTTGCAGAGAGGCTGAGTCGTGTTGAGCCACACGCCGGGGTTCTTCTCCACAGCGGCGGATAGCTGGCCCGTGATGGGAGCCGCACTGGTGTGAAGAGCACTGGCAATAGCTGACAACAGGGTCTTATCTGTGCAGCCAGGGCCCACTCCTTTAGTGACGTCAAATATGATCAGATTCATTCATTTTATTAGCATCCTTTCATTTAATCTTTTTTTGAACATATTTTAGATATCATATTATGATGCTCCAAGAAATAAATACTTTTGTTCAGCAAGGACACATTAAATTGACAAAAGTGAGAGAATATAAACCTTATTTTTATACGGTTAGAAAAGATTCCTTTTTCAAATAAATAGTCTTCTTTTGAACTTTCTATTCATGAAAGAATCATGGTTTTCAGCTGTTTTTAATACTGATAGTAAGAAATAATACGATCTTCTCGAGCTGCAAATTAGCATATTAAAATGATTTCTGAAGGATCATGTGACACTGAAGACTGCAGTCATGGCTGCTGAAAATGCAGCTTTGCATCACAGGAATAAATTACTCAATTATTCAAACAGAAAACGGTTATTTTAAATGGTAATAATATTTCTAAATATTGCTAATATTGTTTTTACTGTAGTTTTGATCAAATAAATGCAGCCTTGGTGAGCATAAGAGACTTTTTTCCAAAACATCAAAAAATCTTACGACCCCAAATTTTTGAAAGGTAGTGTTTTTTGTTGTTGTTTTTTTTCAATAAATAAAAATCAATTTCAATTCCTTTACTCTTAATTAATTCTTAATAATTTTGAATATAAAAATAACATTTTTCAAATAAAATTCAAATGTTAAATAAAATGTAAAGTACATTTAAACTCTTTATAAAGTTCTCTGCACCTGTACAATTTGTGTGCGAGTGTGTTTAGTGCTGCGCTTTTATTTTGACATTACCACATTGTCATTTATTTTGAAATTGTCAACAGTTGAATTGAGTTGATATAAATATCCCTCTGTTTGGGCCTTGTCTGCTGTTGTTTATGTAGGCTACTCTGGCTTACTTTAGGGTTTGTTTTTGTTTGCTCATCTCGATTTCTTCAGATTTCACAAAGTACTTGAATACTGACATTCATTTATTCTTGATTAAAATAAACACACTTGGATTAAGTTCTTCATCTCGCCCAGACGTACCTTGTAAGCCTTTGGGGAGCTCCATTGTTTTCACCAACTCCTCTGCTATGTCAAAGGCATTGAGGCCACTCAACTTCTTCTCCCAAAAAAGCTGTAGATGAAAAGTATATTAGCATTGTGCCACTATGACAAAATACTGTTATTGCTAAATAAAACCTAGGTTAGATGAGTGTTACCTGTCTGGGCTGGTCAATGGCCTTCTGTGGGTCTGTTTTAACCTTATTGCTGGGGTGGTTGGTGACTTTTGTGACAGGCTGTTTGAAGATGGAGGCCGTCTGTCGTACTGGGAGGGACGTATTCAGGTCGGGTTTGCTCTGTTAAAGATGTAACACACTTTACTAAACTGGTTTTCGATGGGAAATGCTGGTCTTTTACTGGATATTTTTTGCAGGTAGACCAGCTTGACCAGTAAAACTGTCTTGAATAGCCTTTAAAGAAATAATTCACCCAAAAATGAAAATATGATTGTCATGTACTCACCCCAAGGCTATCCAAGATGTAGATTAGGGTGACCATATGTGCCATTTTCCCAGGACGGGTCCTGGCAAGGATTTCTATATTGCCTAAAATATCTAGGTTTTGGCTTTGTTTGCGTGTGCAGACCGATCGGTGTATGACATCAAAATACCATACAGACGGTTCCTTATGCTTTCAAAATGCTCTCGAGGTATTTTGATGTCATACACCGATCGGTCTGCACACGCAAACAAAGCCAAAACCTAGATATTTTAGGCAATATAGAAATCCTGGCCAGGAC